CATTTATAATAGGAATTTAGAGTTATTTCAAGAAATATATAAACTTGGACTGAATGAATGCCCAGTCTTTGANGATTTATGAATACGACAAGTTACCGACCAATTGGACTTTCCACTAGTTACGCAGTAACTTTTCGTGGTGAGCTTTCTACACTTCAGCAGATTCTCTATTGATTTTTTTTCCAGATTGTGGAAGGTTATAAACCCAAAAAACAGTATAAAATTACCTGTTAATGTTAGATCTGCAGACATTCTTCCATCTTTTAAAAAACAAATGAAATGTTGTATTTTGCAAAATACAGTGTAATAGACGTAATGATTCGTTTATAGGTTAGTGAGTCTGCATTTATATAATTACTTTTGTTTCACTTTACATGAACTATTTAGCTATTTTTATATCAGAGATCCTATTTAACCAACTTTCTATCTAGCTTCAAATGAATAATCAAATGTAGTATCATGAAAGGCAAAACTGAAACCTCTGTCATAGAATAAATCCGAAATAAACATAGCACCTAAACTCCAGAACTGCAAGACTCTTCCCAACGCGCGTTTCACCAATCAAGTTGACGTCTTCAAGAGATGAAGAAGACAGTCTACTGGTTCTGGTGTTTGGGAGCATTGATTGTATTTGAATCGGAATACGACTTATATATTTGCGATTTCTCTCAAACGCTTTAGTTCCATCATTATTATTTTTTTTTCATCAATCAAAACCAACTTGAACGTTGTTGTCATAGTTATTACGTACATATCTGATGTACTGTTACATTTTTTTCGCTTCCTGCGAGCCATCTGACTTGTCCATTTCTTCAAAGTCTCCGGAAAACACTACAGCCTCTAGGGGTTATTGTGTTTTACCCTCATCTTTTTATGACACCCATTTCAACAATCTTGTTCCCGGTACTAGTATGTAGGTCTCTTGCTGAATGTATGTCATATTCTTCTGGACACAATGTGATGAGCCCTTTGTTGCATTGCCTGCAACTAGTATCCGCTGTGCAGCCCTATTTTGTTCAGGTTTTCTCTTGATGGAAAGGGTCCAGTGAGTAGCCATGTAATTATTCTGAACCGATTCCTGCTTTGTTGAAGCAGTTCTTCGGTTTTCTTCTCGGACAGTCCCTTCATGAAGTGTGTTCCCGGGAGTGTTTTCCCAGTACTCTTTATTATTTCTTACAGACTTATTTTCCATTCTGGTTCCGTACAAAAGATTTTAGTACTCACAGCTGATTCAGGACAAAATATGGAATTGAGGATCAGTGTCTAGCACACTGCTCAGCTTTTTTGTTGCTATCTACTCCTGTTCGATAGTTTCCTCTGTTCCTCATGACATTCCAAGACTAGTCTCGATGCGTGTTCGTCAGTGCCCCTAACGCTGCCTGGCTGTCTGTCACATAATGACATTCAGTGTTTTGCAATTTCTTCTATTATACCATGTTTGCAAAATGTACCTACTTGAGGTATCTGTCAACAATTAAGTTTTAAATTATATCACTAAAAATAATTGGTTGATGGACTACCTGTCTACATTCAGAAGTGATCACAACTGCGAGACTGCTTTGTAGGTACCTTCAAGTTGAAAATTGATATTGATGCAAATAAATACAGGGTATATCTTAAATGATGTCATTAATTTCAGGTGGTGATACTTGTCAAGTTCATATGAACGTGTGTTCTTGCTGAGCTTTCAATTTGTCTTTGTCTTCGTGTGTAACTTGCTTAATTTCCGAGTAACGGGGTGTCAAACTTCCACTAAAAATATTGTTCTTTCTATAATAACTCAAAACGCAAACATAGTTTTTTACTCACTAATTGAAAATCACCTTAATAAAGGCATTACCTTCTGGGGGGTTAGTAACAACCACATATAGGCCATTTTAATCCAGTAAAAACGGACAATAAGGTACATGTGTAAAGCAAGTAACCGAGATTCTTGTTGACCATTATTTATTATGCATAAAATTTTGACAGTAGAAGCATTATTCATATTGGAAACTGCATGCCTGATAAAACTACAAATCAACAGCTTTGAAGTGATCAAAACGAATTATAGTACTCGGCAAGCAGAAAATATTAGCTTTCACGTATAGTCAGTGGGCATACTTGAAGACTGGCTATAAATCAAATCATCTAAGAGAACAATTCGTTCAGGCCAGTCTCAACACCCTACACAGTAGTAGGTTTAACCTACTGTAGTAGTAGGCTCAACCTACTGTAGTAGTAGGTTTAACCTAGAGTGTAGGGTGTTGAGACTGGCCTGAACGAATTGTTCTCTTAGATGATTTGAGAAAATATTAGATTATCTATTTCAACCTCGAATCTTGCCAAAGACTCTCTTACATACAATGGCTGTGAAATATATAACAATCCACTGGAAATAAGACAAATTGAAAGCTCAACAATCATTAAAAATGCATTGAAGTCTTTACTCAGTGAGAAACCATACTACTGCGTTGCTGACTTTTTTTAATGTCTAATGTGGCATGTGATTTGATGTACCTTCATTTATTATTTTCTAACTAATTCGTATTTTGTTATATGTCTCGTTTTTAAATTATGTAGATTTATCTTTTATGACCAATATGACTTTTAAACTATCAACATAAGACAACATGTCAATAATAATTCTTGTTTTTCAGACAACAAAGAATATTTCTCTCTATAGTGGATGGCTGTATTTTAAGATTTTCAGAGAGCTTTTGAAACAATAGACATTTCTATTTTACTAACTAAATTACAGTACTTATTATGGTTTAACTGACAAAGTATACAACTGATTCGAAGCTACCTACTCAATAGGTCACAACATAGTAACGTTAAAAATTTTGTTTCAATTGAGAAATGCATCAATATAAGTTTTCCACAAAGAAGTGTACTGAGTCTGCTGTTGATTGCTTAATATTTAAATATCAAGCATATGAGATCTGTTCAAAAAATAATGTGAATTTTAATTTTTTTCTGAAAAATATTTATTTATTCATGAATTTCTATCAAAGTAGTCCTCTTCAGATATAATATACTTGTGCCAGCGTTCTTTCCAATCCTCGAGGCAGTTCTGATATGCACTTTCTGATATGTCTCTTAGCGATTCAGTTTTTATCACATCAATCTTTATGAAACGCCGTTCTTTCATGGGTCTCGTCAATCTTGGGAACAGGAAAAAGTTGCGGGGAGGCAAATCTGGTGAATAAGGTGAGACATGTTTACGGTGTTGTTTTTGCCCAAAAAATTATGAACAAATAATGAGGAGTGAGCAGGTGCATCATCATGATGCCAAAGCCATGAATTGTTTTTCCACAATACCGACCGTTTTCTTCGTATTGCTACTCGCAAGTAGCGCAAATAATAAGCCTTATTGACCTTAATACCATGTGAAAAGAAATCTTGATGCACTACGCTACGGTAATCAAAGAAAACAGTGAGCAAAACCTTGACATTTGATCGAACTTGGCATACTTTTTTTGGTCTTCACTCTTCTGGGCTCTTTCATTGGGACGACTGGACTTTGGTTTCGATGTCATAACCATATACCCATGGTGATTCACCTATTATGACTTTTCAAGCAAATCTGGATCGCCATTGACGTCATTCAACAATTCCTGAGCGTTGCTCATATGATGGTTTTTTGGTCAAAATTCAACAATTTCGGAACGAACTTCGTTGCCACACGCTTCATGCTCAAAATTTACAAACAAATTGCATGGCATGAGCCATGCCATGATATCTTCAGCAACTTCTCAAATAGTAATTCGAAGATTCTCCATAACAATTTTCATCACTTTCTCAACATTTTTATCGGTTGTTGATGTGCTGGGGCGTCCTGGGCGAGCGTCGTCATTCACATTTTCTTTATCTTCTGAGAAAAACTTGTAACACTTGTAAACAATTTTTTGACTCGGAGTACAATCACCGTATGCCACTGTCAATATTTAAAGTGTTTTTGACTATAATACTTTAATTAAACTTCATTTGAAATACTTAAATGCACTTCAAAAATTGCAGAATAGATGCATGCAAGTATTACTAAAATTAAACATATATAATTTCATGAGGATAAAACTCAACTTTCTTGATTGGCTATCCATAAAAGGTAGGCTGAATATTTTTCCATTATTTTCATTTCAAAAATAGTAATTGTTCCTATGAACATAAGGTTAGAAATTACTTTCAATTCCTTTCATTTTTTATATTTATGTACATTCTTGCTTGTGAGTTTCAATCAGAAAATGTTATTGTTCTTCTTTAATTAAAACAAAGACATCTATTTACTTCTAATGGATTAGTGTCCAAATTAGTGTAAAAAACAAAGCAATAAATCAATATATTTGCTATTCTGATTATATTTAAACAAAAATTATGACAAGTTTGTTTAATTTTAAGATAACAAACACAACACCCCATTTGATAAACGAAAAAGTGTTTAAAATCGTTCAAAACTTATTTTTCAACATTAAATATATGCTTGTAAACAATAACAACATGAGGCAATCTATGACCCTGGATGATAAGCACTCACTCCATTCACTGTGATACAACTTTAAAACTGAAACGTTCAACGGAAAACTACATACACTAGATGTTCCAGTTTCTTAATATTCATATGATCTGTATTTTAAATTTATGTATTAATTTGTTTTCATTTTTTCACATATGTTCATATACTTTGTTATATGTGAGATTGTATTCATAAAGATGTATTTTTTTTCATGACTTACCTTGACACAAGTTTCACTTCTCAAATTATCAGTTTATTTAGATGTTTTTTTATTATTTCCGATGTATATATTATAAAATGTCATGAATGAACTGATATTGTTATCATTATATTAGGCAAAAAACCCTTAAATGAAAATCATATTAGACAATGGAAGTCCCAACTAACAGTGATTGTTATAATGATATTTCCAAGTGTTCTGAAAGACATTCTTTCATAATCATCCAATGAATCTACTTCATTATGTACATAATTATTGAAAAGTTCTGGTTGTATTTCAACTTACCTTCCAACGGGATTTAGCGAAATTTTTCTTCAGCTGTTCTGCTACAGTTCCATGAATATTCTTATTACTGGCAGCGTTACCAGAAATCCTGTAAAATAAAGGAATTAGCAACATTCAATGGTACCTATCAAATGTAATTTACCACTCATGTCGTAGAGCTTGTCTACAAGTGTATCTCTTCTCAACATTAACACACATCAAGTTTCTTATGAAATCTTTTGCTGAATCACTAATTTCATCCCAATATGGGGAATCAAATTCAAAGTCGCCTTTGAGTATTTGCGCAAACAAATTTGCATCGTTCTCATCATAAAATGGAGGGTAACCACATAATAAAATATATGATATAACTCCTATACTCCAAACGTCTACTGCTTTTCCGTATGGTTTTTGAGCAAGCACCTCTGGAGCTACAAGTCATAAAATTTTCAGTAAATATAATAAGTATGCATAAAAAGTTACTTACCTACATAACCTGGTGTTCCACAAGCTGTAGCCATGATTCCAGAATCCTCCATTTTTGATAATCCAAAATCACTTATCATTATTTTACTATCTTCATCTGGACTATAATAAAGTAGATTTTCAGGCTGAAAAACGTTGAAATTCTTAGAGAACTGGTATCAAAAGAAATTTGACATATTCCCCAATCATAGGTTTTATGGTAATATTATTATTACTATTTATTACCTTGAGATCGCGATGCACAACACCTTGCTCATGCATATAATCTACAGCTTCCAAGACCTGTCGTATCAAATGGGCAGCATCTTTCTCAGTATAAGATCCTTTTTCAACAATTCTATCAAATAGTTCACCCCCAGTAACCCTAGAAAATAAGTAGTTAAATTGAATACAAAAAGAGACTTTTAGTAATGTAGTAGTAGTGAATGAAATCAGGCTTAATGAAAAGTATCAAACTCACAATTCCATAATAAGATAAACCTTTGACTTATCCTCGAAGGTTTCTTGCAGCTGAACAATGTTAGGATGTTTCAACCTGAAATATTGTGCATAGTAAATATAATTTACAAAATCGCAGCAGCTAAAAACAATATAATTTTAAATATAACAATTATCCACTTCAAATTTATTTCAATCTTATTTTGAAAATTCATTCATTCATTTGATTATCAACAAGGTTTCATGAATGTTAGATCCACCATCAGTAACTTGTTTATTTTTTATCTACATTTATGTGAAACATTGGATCATATGGATCAGGTCAATGTGGTGTACACCGACTTCTCTAAAGTTTTTGATAAAATCAGTTACCCAATTCTCATTCATAAACCTTCCGGTATGGGCTTCAATTTTCAGTTTTTGAAAGCATATCAATGGAAGCAGTATTTATACTATAATGGTTTCTTTTAATAAATTTATTTCAACTAGTGGAGTCCCCCAAAGATATAATCTCATTCCAAATTTTTTACTATTTATAAATGATTCATTAACTCATTATACTGCAAAACATTGATGTTTGCAGATGATTTCAAACCACTATTACCGATTTAGAGGATCGTACAAGATTGCAGTGGCAGATAAATACCTTACATGATCAGTGCCACAAGAACTGTCTGTATAATATATTATATTTATTTCAGAGTAATTGTTGGTGAAGTTATATTGAGTTTTTCAGTGGATAAAAAAGAAAATCAAATCTAAAATGTATTTGAATGTGCTGTTTATTCTATTATGTTCCCATTGGTGAAGTCTATAAATATAAAATTTAAACTAGTATTAAACGTGCAATCTGACCTCTGGAAAGTTTTATTTAATCAGTGGTGTACATAAAGAGAAGAACTATAAACAAAAAAGCGTTCTAAATGTGAAAGTGAATATAAAATAGCTCAGGTCTTTCCCTGATAACTGTGAGAAAGTTCTTATGCAGTGTAGAAACCTATAGAAACTTAAGCATATCGCAAATTAAGTGTCCAAAACTAAAAATGAAACGAAAAAATATTTTTATGTAATAATTGTAAAATCTGGATTCTTGAAGAAACCTTCACTGATTGTGCAGATGAATTAATTGAAGGATGATTGTGACTGCTAGACAGAAAACAAAATATTATGGATTAGAAGATTAGGGGAGTTTCTGATTAATACTCCCCAAGGGTGTGTTGCAGAAGATTTGAACACGGTTAAGGAAATGTTCATGAAATTTAATGTGAATCTAAGTAATGTCTTATTTTTCATTATTAGAAAAAATATGGCTAATAGACTTAAACTACTCGAAATTATACACAAATCATGAAAAGATACTTCGAGTAGAACTGAATTAACAAATCTTCAAATAGTTAGCGATCAAATAAAACGACACAGTAACAAAATAACGAGAATATTCAAATATTCTTTTACTGCGGTGTATTAAATTTCAACAGATTGAAGACAAAATACTAGAAAATGAAAAATTGAAGGACAAAAATGTTTATCCAGAATGGTTAAATTTTGCCAAATTGACATACCAAGTTATAATAAAAGATAAATTACAACAAACTAACTTCATGTAATAATTTTTTACATTAGTGTTTTATAGGACATGACAGTTCAATATACTGTCGATTGCTTCAAAACATGTGTTTCCTTTAATCACATTGTACAAACATTCGGAATCATATTTCCAATATGTTTCCAATTACCAGGCAGTTGTATACACAATCTTCTCAAAACATATTTTTATAAACAAATCAGCGCTGCATGTATATATAACTCACCTACGAAGGACTTTGATTTCATTTTCCAAAGAATCTTCTTTACCTTTGAGAGCCTTTTTGTCAATAATTTTAACAGCATGCAGAAAACCGGGATTTTCTTTACTTTCTGCTAGCCTGACCACTGAGAAAGCGCCACTGAAATAAGATGTTATAAAAACTAATAACAAAAATCATTATCACTCACGTTCCAAGTAGTTCTTTCATGTAATATTTATCTTCCAAAGAAGGTTGTTTATCAGTATCTTTTCCATCTTTCTTCGTTTTCTTTTCTTTACCAAATAAAGGCATTTTTCTCAATATTTTCCTTCAACTTTCTACACCCTAACATATAAAACACTCTCTTAAATACTCGATCTAAAGCAATACATTACTTGGTATTCCTGCACGTCGGAAGTGAAAGAAACTTTTGTTTTCCTTAGAAACTCTGAATCACTAAATAGAATAAATACTTCGACATCGACAACAGTCCTAAAATCTCTAAATATCCTTGTGATTGGTTATTGGTGATTGCATCCTGCAACGATTAGATATTACTTCAAAGTTCAGTGCTGCCAATACTATCGACGTGTTCCGAAGTCAAAAAAAGACAACAAAAATTCGGAGGAGAAATGTCGCTGCACAATGATATCGATACAGAGGTTTCTGGATACGGATAACAAAATGTATTAAAACAAGTTCAAAGATTCTTTGAATACAAAAAAGGTTTGGTGTGTAACCGACGTTGCGTCGTTGGAACAATCAAAGGTTATATTCCATGTGCACCAAGTTTAATAGATATTCTTCTTCAAATGCATGATTTTCGAAATTTTGCCAACTAAAAATGACTTGAGTGTATAAAAATTTGATCCTGCCCAGCCATCGACATCTGAGCGATATCACATTGTGATAAATATTAGACGTTGATATGACATTTATCAGAGATATTTTCCCGAGGAAAGAGGTAGGTGTCGGCGATATTGCAATAACTTTTTGATGTCAACAAGATGTTACTTTGTAACGTTGATATGACATTTATCATAGATATTTTCCCGAGGAAAGAGGTAGGTGTCTGCGATATTGCAATAACTTTTTGATGTCAACAAGATGTTATTTTGTAACATCTTCTGTAGGAAATTGATTCATGTCCTTGAAATATGAAACGGCGAGTTATAAGAAGAA